AATCGAACCTGAGACCTTTTGGTGAACGGGAAGATGCTCCAACCAGCTGAGCCACCCAGCCAGGGCCCAGTTCCTAGATTTGACCAAGAAGCGAGGCAGAGGACTTCGGGCTGAGGACCGGAGGTCCAGTTGGGAACCTTGGCTTTTTGATTGGCTTGCTCTCCGGATGCCCTTGAGATCACCTTGGAGGGGAAGTGTGGTCTCAAGGCTGTAACAGTGTATCTTAGACTCATTCCACGTACATGGCCCGGTGGGGAGCAAGGAAGAGGCAGTGATTTGCGGGCTGATTCACCCTCGAGAGGAACAGAGACCCTGCTGTGGGGAGGGAGCCAGGGCTTAAGAGAAACACCGAGTTTCTCCTGTTAGTACTATCATTCGGAACTGACCCACCAAGCAGCCTTGGCGGTAAGGACTCAAAAAAAAGAAAAAAAGAGAAGGAAGTGGCAGGAGCTGGAGCTGACAGGCATGGCTCTGAAGCCTTGCGGCACACTGGAGTCCCTGGGGTGAGTGTGCAGGGCTGCGGGGGAGGGAGTAAGAGCACCGGTGCCCAGCCCAGCCATCTTTGGGGCAGGGCCCTCGGCCGCAGCCCGGTGCCCTGAGCACTGTTAGAGCGAGGGAGAGTCTGCGGGGAGCGGGGCTCAGGCCTGCAGGCCGCGCAGCCACCTTGGCGGCTGAGTGGGAAGAGCAAGAGGTTGTGCGTCGGGGGCTCAGCACCTTCTGCTTGGGCGGCAGGAAAGGCGGTGGTGGAAGGAAATACAAAATATGTGAGTCTGTTAGCAGCTGTCGGAGGTAAGCTCACCCAACGGGCATAGGGTGAGGAAGGAAAATAAACCTGTATGATCGAATGTGACTGAATATTTAGGCGAAGATTCTTAATTGGTTCCAAGTTATTTCTCACTTGTTATTTTAAAACCAATGAAGACAGGCTGGAAGGAAGACTGGAGAACTAATGTTTTAAATACCCTGCCCCCTGGTCCATGGCCTGTCCCCTGATGGCGGCAGGGTAGCTGCTAGGAGTTGGCACTCCCTTCAGCCTTGCTCTGCACTCGCCTCCTCGGGCGCCAGCGTTGGCCCCGTGGTCTGGGCGATAACCAGGGGGTTGTCCGGACAAGAGACCCTGAAAGTGTAATTAAATGAAGAAAAGTCGTAGTCAGTTAGAAATAACCCAGCAGAGTCCGTTTGACCAGTGCTGCCGTCCACTCGGTGTTCTGTTTGCTCTGTCTTTGCGAGGGGAGGCTGTGATATGGGGCAGCGCACTTTTTGCTCATGGTGCCGCTCTTATAGTCAAATAAAAGTAAACTCACCCATATGCTTTCACTTGGCAGATGGCCCATTAGACTTTTCAGAACCAGAACCTTTAGTTCCACCCCTTTCTTGACACCTGTGTCCCCTCAAGGAGCCCTGTTTACTTGGTCTACGAGGGAAGCCCTGTCCATGCCATAGTGGGGGCATCAAGGGCGTTCATTTTCCCAGCGGGGTTATTTTCCTGGGCGCCCGCGTGATTATTCTTGATGCCTTCAGCAGCTGGGCAGGGTCCACGGACTGAGGTCAGAGGTCAAGGTCAGAGACACTTCCCTTTCCGGATTCAGGTAGTCAGATCCTGTCCTGCCTCTTTTCCCGCCTGTCCCCACGGGCCACAGCACAGGTTATGCTCAACCAAGGACGTTAGGGAGCTTCTCATTTCTCACCTACACAGAATATGGGCGTGTCCTGAAGATGAAGAGAAATGGGTTTATCTTATTAGTGATCTCTAAAATGGTCTTCTCTGCTCAGGCAGGACAGGTAGCTTTACTATTTCTTATGAAAACTCCTCTCTATTGTTTTAGGCTCTATGCCTTCCTTCCTCTCTCCAGGAGGAGCCCAGTCAAAGTTGAACAGAGTCATTATAAAATGCCCTAATTGTGTTTTTATACTTCTAAGCATTACATTAAAATTACCCAGAGCTGCTCCTCTTGGCCTCTTCATAAGCAGCCACATGAAAAGCCCTCAGCTCAGGGGAGGTAGTTACTCTAGTCATGTCCCATTCTGATGTCAAGAAAACAATTTTCTGTAGCAACTAGAATCCCACAGTGAAGAGATGTGGCTCCCACATATCTATCGCCAGTTAAGAGGCGAAAGAACACAAGAGCTGGTGACGGGGATGCATCTCAGGTGGTACCCAGTAGCCCTGCTTTTCCGTGAAGAAGGTTCTCACAATGAGGGCACAGTCCCGACACTCGGCTTCCTTTCAGGGCACATGGGCTCAGCAAACAGTTTCGATCCCTCACCCCTGTGCGGTGCAGAGGGAGCAGAGGTGAAGAGAAGGGCTCCAGATTTCCTTCACGCTGCCAAAGACCACCTTGAACACACCCCGCTGAGGGCACCAGGCCAGGAAATTGGATGCAGTGCAAAGAGCAGAACTGTGTTTTGCATACTTGGGCATTTGGGCCAAGTCCCCTTTCTACGCCCTTCTAAACTCACTGATATATTATTATAAAAGGAACGGGTAAAAGGTTACAAAGGGAACCTGTATGCACATCTACCAGTGCTTACTAAGTGAATGCATAACCAGCGAATTGAGTGAACTGAGGCCTCCTGCTGGTCTGGGTCATCAGTGTGTGCTTAGCAGAGGAAACCATGTCTAACATGATTTTTATCATTGAACAGAGGGTGACAGAAATCCTTACAGGAACATCATGCTTAACAGCACCATCCCGTCCTCTGTAATCAGTAGAAAATAGGTTCAGTTTTGGACGCCTAACAAGATGGATCCTTGCCCTGTGCTTCCTATTTTAGCGACTTCCACATATAACTTGAAACACTAAGTAAGAACTCGTCACACTGAAGTCATTGTCTGGACCCAGAAAGGGGGAAATGCAGCTTCTGTTGTTTGGAATCTCTTCAGTCCAAGGTTCCTCTAGATGTCAGTGTTACACAGGGAAATGGAAATATAATTCCTGGCAAAGAATAAAGACCTTACATTATTTAAATAGTAAAACATACGTGATGCATAACTGGCAGGAAAAAACCCCCAGCCTCGTTTGGAAGCTGGTTTATTATATCCCTCAGGATCGAACGACAGGTTCCCCTGCTGCTCCAGTGAGACTGCTGGACCCAGAGACTGTCAGCCCAGTCTGTGGACATCGCACTGACTCTGCAGGTCCTTAGATGAAACGCTGATCGACCATCACTCACAGTCTTACCACCAGATTCTCAGTTTTACACATGAATGGATTAAATGCACTGAAACTCACCAGTTTTTATTGTAGAGCCCACTGTGCTGTCCGCCAGGCTCATGCCATCCAGAACAAATCCAGAGCCAAAGCCTGTCCACCAGGAGTTTCCTTTTCAAAAGGGAAGCATTGGGAGGCAAAGCTATAAAGCAGCTTAAGAACAATTTGTTAAACTATCTTTTTTTACTAATTTGGACATATGTTTTCACAATTAGACTTAAATTCTCTCTCTCTTGCCTCTCCTCCATGTTAATTCTAATCTTTTGACCAATAAATATTTCTTCATTCTACTAATTTGTTTTTATTTTATACCCTTCTCTCTTAATCTTATTTTTATTTCCAGTAGTGTTGGCTGTGTGGTAGATATTCAATAAGTATTACCAGTATCTACCTTGGCTGTAATCTCGATTTATTTATTTTTTTGGAGTGACAGTGCAGTGTGGTAGTTACGAGCACAGACTGAGGTAGGTATCTGAGTTAGAATCCTGGTTATACCATTTCTGAACTATGCAACCCTGGGAAATTGCCCAACTTCATTATAAAATAGAGTTAATAGTATCTTTCTCAAAGGGATGCTATGAGGACCAAGTAAGTTAATAATGTAACAAGCATAGAAAAGTGCCTGGTTTGTAGTCAGTGCTCGGTATATATTAGTCACCACCACCACCATCATCATCGTCACCATGTCTCAGTCTCTGGGGTAAACACCAGGAAGTCAAAGATAAATCTGAGGCAAAAAGGAGGGAAAGGTTAATAAAACATTGCAAGAGATGCCAGGTTTGGGGTGTGTGCTGAGTGCTGTGCAGCAAAGATGAGGGAGCCCCCTGGCTGTGCCCGAGGCAGCTGGAGGACACTTGTCTTGCAAAGAAACAAACATGCACATGGCATTCCTGCACTTTCACTGAAAAGAGAACATTGCAATCTCCCAGGCTGCAACCTCTAATTTTGTTTTTTAGCAGACTTCCTAAGCATGCCTCTGTGTTTCAAGGTCCCTGTCTGAAAGATGGAAATGCTCGAACCTCCGGATGGTTTGAAAGGCGCTTGCAGTTTGTCCTGACATCTGTGAGCTGCGCTTACTCAGCATTTCATGCCTTCCGGTCGCCCTACGGGAAAGCTTGCTCTTTCCAAAGAAGAAAGGCCGATTCTGTGGAGAGCTGTAATTTCATTAATTTAAAACGTATAACTTTAGAATTTGTGATACTTTGGGTTGGTTTACCTTTTACGTGGTATTTAAAAGGGTTTGCTAAGCTGCTTCGGAGAAGCAGTACTGTGAGAAGAATGCTCATCTGCTCAGGAAAAGGGCCATCTGTCCTACGAGACATGAAAGTTCCACTTATAAAAGCTTACTTTAGTCTTCTACTTTCTGGTTTACACAACCCAGTCTCACATGTCTTCTCATTTTTGTTTGATTTACATACGAGCCACATCAAGACAATATAAACAGAGGTCAAGGGTGACTTGAATATTATTGATATCCTTTAATCTGTCCATAAAGATTGACCTCTTTCTGTAAACAGTGCTGGAGTTTTACAGGGTTTCCTTTAAAATAGTGAGTTCATTTGTCTTCTAATACCGTAGACTATATAGAGTTTCATTGATTCAGACTGTTCTGCCCTCTAAATACTATTAACTTTTTTCTGTGTTTTAGTCATATTATATATGGTTCTCAATCTGGGGTGAATTCGCCCCCAGGGGACATTCAGCAATTTCTAAAAACATTTTGAATGTTATGACTGGGCGGGAGGATCCTATTGGCATCTGGTGTGTAGAAGTCAGAGATTCTGCTGAATATCCCCATTCCTCATTGTATATCCACAGGCTAAGGGGAAGGTGTGGTCATACCCCAACCAGGAAGAAATGGCACCCGTCAAGGGCAAGGGGACCTCAGCCCCCACAGGTAAGATCTTCAGAAGTAGATAGCTATGGGTGAAGAAAGCTCTGTTGTGCAAGCCCGCTCCCGGGTCTTACTCAGAGGAAGTGACGCATTCGTGAGCCCCAGGTCGGGAGAAGAGCTGCTCTCCTCCACTACCTCTGTCTCACTGGCTTTGGGCCCACTAGTTACAAACCAGGAAATCTTGGGGAACCCAGCTGTCAGTCAGTTGGTCATATTCACTTCCACTTTGCTTTGCAAAGGCTTTTGTCTGCTGATAAAGACGAGCTGAATAGAGATGCCATTGTGGGAAGACAAAATGATGCTGGTCAGACACAACCTCCATTAAAATATTTGTGTCCTGTGGTGGCTTTTAGAGAGATCTTCCCAGAAGAACCAGCCTTCCTCTGACAAAGAAAAAGTTAATAAACCCCACAAGGAAAATGCAGAGAAGACCAATGCCTCTCTAGTTCAGAGAAGTTTGTCCGCATTTCACACAAAAAGACCACAAGGCGAGGTAGAAGATTTTGCTCTAAGAAAATCCATAGAGCCAAGAGGAAATATAGACAGAAGAGACATTTTATGCTCGGAGAGACTGCACAGACAAGGAAAGAACAGTGCTGGAGATGACAAGCATGCCTCCGAGGGCGAAAACGAACGTCCTGTGCTCAGAACCAAGGGAAATGGGCTTCATTCCAAGGAACACACGAGAGAAAGGGAGCCTGAGGAAGAAGGGGGATCGTCGGCTGCAAATGAAACAGTGATGGACACGTGTTCAAATAAAAAGCAGAATGCTGCCCAAGCGGATGGTGCTCAGCCCCGTGAAAGGCAGGGGTAAGCACACTGCACATCCACAGCTGGTGCTTTGTGGGGATCTATGAGCCGCCACAATTTAAGGCCACAGCAAAGGATAACTGAGTGAGTTTTTAAAGCAATGGCCTAGAAACCAGTTTTCACCGGTGTAGATTCTTTTTGGCCAAGTTTTCATGCCATTATTTTTTCTTCATGCCTGTGACATATTCATTCACGGTGTTGTTTCCTAAGTCACCTACCATCAGAAAGACAAAGATCGTAATGATTAATAGCACTCACATCAATCAATATTTTTTAAAGATCAAGCAAAAATTTCTTATTTTTAGCAATATAGAGCACATCCTTCCTAAGATAAAGAATTGAAAAATGATCAGACTTATATGTAAGCTAAATCTAATTCCTAAAAGTTTACCTGCCCCTTTATACACGATAAGTTGACTGTTTCTCTCCCAAATATTGTGAGGCTTGAGTAAGAAGTTGATTATTAAGTGACTTTCCCTCAACTGCGAAGTTTCACATATAATGCAGCTAATTATGTAGTCAATTAAAATTAATTATTCTACGCTATGATGAGCCACAGAATCCAAACTTCGGGGGTATTTTTTTTTAGGGATTTAAGATATAATTCTTGTTTCATTTTTAAACACTGTATTTGAAACCTAGTGATGGAGAAGTCTAATTTTCCAAGAATTAAACATAAACACATATGTTACTAAGAAAGCTCACGGCTGCAAAGATGTGCTTCATGAGGCCTGGAGCTGCTGCAAACGGAACTAGGTCAGTTCTCTCACCAGAAAGGTTTACTCTCCCTGCTGATAATATTCAGAGGAGATTACTTCTATTATTATAATTCAGTCATTTCTTTTACAAAGGAAGGAAGTGAAAAAATGAAGACAAGTTAGCTAGGTATTAATGAAATGACTGCTTTTGTAAAGGGTCAATGGAATAACTTGGGGTCCCAATGAAGCCACTGGGGAGATCCTCTGGGACGCTGGCTGCCGACACCCATCCTTCGGCCCCTTGGATCTGACAGGGAAGCACACTGCTCCATCATTCCCAAACACTGACCCCACCACCTCTTGTCATCAGTGTCCCTTCACCAAAACACCACTTTGAGGAAGCTTCAGTTCTAAGAAACTTGACCACCTAAAAGTTTTCTCTCCAAAGCTCGGAGAGCTACAGCTGAGTTTTATTTTCCAGGTGCGTCAGCGGTGGGAGAGTCATTTCCACTTCGCGAGTGCTGGGAAAGCCAGCCCTGGGGCCCCTTTTCCAGAAAGCGGAGCAGGCAGAGCAGGCGGGCTGTGGCAAGCGGAGAGGGCCGGAGGAGCGCGCCGGCGAGGAGGGCGGCAAGAAGAGCAGGGCGCAGGCCGGGCAGCCGAGGGCGCGCCCCGGGGAGGGCGCGGGGAGCCGCGCAGGCCCAGGGCCGCTTGCAGGGCCAACCCCTGGAGTCCGCTGGAACGAAGGCCCCAGGCAGCAAGACCTGGCCACTCCACTGGGTACGAAACGGCTTTTGTTTCAGCCCTTTAAAGCTCTTAACCTCTCCAGCAAGCATTTCCAAATAAGTTTCACTCCGCCTGACATCCCGAAGGAGACGTCATGCCATGCTGACGCCCTGAGATGCCGTTTCTAGCTCGAGCACTTGTTTGGGTCTGAAGAGATGAATGCCAGCAAGAGGATGTCCCCATCACGCCCTTATTTTTCTGCATATTATTGGTGTGAGAGGTGAATGTCCACATCAAAGCAGATTCCCAGAGGTTTATACTATCTCAATTTAAAAAATATTAGCACTTGGCAGAATGCCCAACACAAGGTAAATGTTCAAGAATTATATATTGAATAAAGGTACATATTTGAAAGCAAACCCATTATCTATTCACCTCCTCTGTGTGTTTTGTATGCATGTAAGAAGGTGTGTGGAGCAGATGCTAATTAATGAATAAAGGAGGAAATGAATAGGTGCCTGGCAAGCAAACTTTAACAGCAGTAACATGGAAAACAAAGAAGAATATTGAGAGAATATAATTTTGTATTTCAGAACCAATCCTGAGGTGGACTAGAGTTTAAACACATAAGATAGAAAGTGGAAAGCAGAGGAATTTGAGAGCTGTGGAATACATACTTGGCCAGCTTTTTTCATCCAGAAAAAATCGATATTTGTGCCTTAAGTGTATCTTAAAATAAAGGCTAAAACACTTTGGAAAGTAATATGTAATAATCTCAAACATTTTAATGACATGAAGAAACTTTTCACTTTCTCTCTCTCTCTGCTTTAATGAAAATAATAGACTATATTTGGGATGCTTAAAAATGGAACGACTTATATCTTGTGTTTGAACTTAAATGGCCTCAGGCTTGGAAGTCTAACCTCCTTGGACTGTATTAGCATTGGAGATTTTCAACTCTTCTGACATTTCTTTCTTTCTTTTTTAAAAAATATGTTTTATTGATTATTTCAGAGAGAGGAGAGGGAGAGAGAGAGAGAGAGAAACATCAGTGATGAGAGAGTCATTGACTGGCTGCCTCCTTCACTCCCCCGACTGGGGATCGAGCCGGAAACCCGGGCATGTGCCCTGACTGGAATTGAACTGAGATCCCCTGGATCATAGGTCGATTCTCAACTGCTGAGCCACGCCGGCTGGGCTATTTTGACATTTCTAAAAGTTGCCCTGAAGATGGCATGACCCAGAGGTTAGTGGTCCTGACATTCTTTTTCAAAGATGTCAGGTGTCACCTTCATGAATCACAGGTCATAATGTGAAATGAAAATTTATACTCCCTGGATCATTAGAAATAAAACAGATGGCCTGTTATATTTTATTATTAAATGAGCACAACTTCACTCTGAGGCCCAGTGCTCAGGGCTGTAAAGAGCCTGACTGCCTAACAGATGGCCCTTCTCCCCTCTCACCTCCTAGGCGACGGCCCAGCCCCTCCGGCACCCTTTCACCACCGGATCGTAGTAGCCAAGCAGACAGCTGTCAACAGCCTTTACACTGTGAGCAGAACAGAAATTTTAGGCGGGTAAGTCATGCTCAATTTTAACACACTTCCAACAAAAAAAGAGAACTTGCCAAGAGACGGATCCTGAGTGTTGCCTAAATATTTGCCGGTCTCTGCCTGAGAATCAGAAAGGTCAGAAACAAACATTTTAAGAGATTTTAACCATTTCTGACAATCACCCTTGGTCCCAGGAAGGTGGATGTGGGGACAGTGACTAAATTCCACCTTTATTATCTGCTTTCCTTCCCATGTCGCATGGTCCGAAGGTAAGAGACCCACTGTGAGGCACCAGTAGGTTGAGAAGCTGCCCAAAGCTTGAAGACAGAGAAACAAACTGTGGACACGAGTGAGCACTGTGCCCTCCTTGCAGCCCGTGCTAAGTCCTTATCGTTGTTGGTTTTCCATTTATGTTGTCATTGTATTAACTACTATCACCCATTTCAACCAATTACTTTCTTCACTGAAGAACTTCTTTGAAGGGCATCTCAGTGCACAGTCTCCTTGAAGAAATAAGAGTGGCCACCGAGCTCACTGCTGGGGGTGCTCCTTCCTCTTCTACTTCAGTCACAGTCCCCTCTGATATCTTGTAATTTAAAGCCTAAATTCTAAAGTTTACTACCATGAGTATATCTATTTAAAATGGGAAGAGGAAAACAGGAAATTTGAACAAATATACACAACATTTATTAACACCACCTTGGGAAACATCCAAGCTGCTGTAACGTGTGTTTACCGATTGCCCGCTGGGGGCGTGGTTGGCATTTGTCAAGTCCCTTCTCCCTCCTCCCGCCCTATGTTCCTTTGTCTTGGGCCGGACACAGCCACCCAACTGCGTCCTCCTCAGCAGGCTGGCCGTGGAGAGCACCCCTGAGACAGGCTGGCTCGGGGGAACGGGCTCTGAAACAGGAGTAGGTGCCGGGGACTCGGGAGCACCCCTGCCTGCAGCAGCTTGCTTGGCCCCTCAGGGACCTCAGTGCAAGCCCGCACCCGCTCTCTAAAGGCAGGCAGTGATTTGGCAGAGAGGCTTTGGAACAATCCCCAGGGTCTGTGCTGTTTCTGGTCAAGGTTGTCGATGGCTCCTTAAGACGCTCACTGGATCTTCTTGGTCTGCACCAGCTGCTGGCATCTCCTGTGTGGGCTCCACTCAAAACTGGTGGCCACATCTCACTGGGCACATAAGTTAGAGGAGCACAGACCAGTGTGTATTGTTGCCTCAAAGGGCACCGAGATCAGCAGCCACCACCTCTCCCTGTCAGTGATTAGACGTTCCAGATGCAGCAGATTATTTCTCACTTTGGGCAGGGAATCACTGGATTCCCAAAGATGTACCTGCAGCAGGCCCTTGAATTTCCTGGGGTTCACCTCCCAGCCCGTGGCCTGTGGGGTATTTACAATCCCAGCTCAGCATATGCAGTGGCCGGAGTGTATCAGTGTGGGGGGCCAGCAGGAACTCTGGGAGGTGGCCTCACCACTCAAGGCACCTGCGGAATAAATCATGTGACAGTTGAGGGAGTCCTGAGGTCAGAGATGAGGCACCTCTGCGGAGCCAGGCAGCTCTGGGATTTTGCTAATCAAGAGAGAAAAACCATTTTCCTAATCAGCAGCCACGTGAGGCTCCCGCGGCCGTACTCCTGCGCCCTGGAGAACAGCTGGAACAGCGGCTGGGATCCAAGTCCTCGCTTGGCTGTTAATGGACACGCCCGCTCCGCCCAGGGTGTGCGGCCTCGCTGAGTGGGGCGTGGTGGTGTCGTCACCCTGCCTCTGTGGGCTGTGGCCAAGGCCCTCACCTCTGCGGCCTCAGGCTCCGGTGCTGTTAGGGAAGCCCCCCCGCGGCCCTGCTGTGATAGCCACCATCGCACCAGCAGGCACTGGGGCTCTGTCAGTTTTACTAAATCAGGAATCAAAGCCAGCAAGTCAGATTTGAAAATCGATCACCAGGGTGCATTGCTGTGTGTGATTACCTGTGTAAGGAGCTGTCTTACAAAGTGAATATACGTTTATATCCAAGCTAAACTGTCGAAAAGCTCAGAAATAAGGATGTATATGTATTTTTGATTATATGTGTCTATATGTAATATTATTATTAATTTTTATTTATTTATGTGCAGTTTCCAAAAATAATTTGATGTTCACAGCCTGTACTGTTCACAAAGCCTAGCTTGTAACATTATTATGTATCCAGAACGACCCTAATTTTTCTATAACAGAGGCTCTCAAAGTTTAGGGTGCACATGAATTACCCAAGGAATGCTGTGAAATGCAGATTCCGGGGCCTCATCCCAGACTCCTGTCTTGGTAGGTCTGGGGTAGAGCTGGGAACATGTATTCCTGCCCCCAGAAGGTTCTGATCCAGTGGCCCCCAGACCACCCTTGACACTGTTGTAGGAGCTTGTTGGCTGCAGTAGATGCACTAACAGGTGCGCTCATTCAGACTCAGAACAAGAAATGCCCGGGCCGCTGCCTGGCCTGCCTGGCAGTGACCGAAGCCAGGTCCTGGTGGGGACAGAGCCTCACGCTGCCTGGTCTCTCCCTCGGCAGGGGGCGCTTCGGCCAGGTTCACAAGTGTGAGGAGAAAGCGACAGGTCTGAAGCTGGCGGCCAAGGTCATCAAGACCAGAGACGCGAAGGACAAGGTAAGGGCCCCGCGGCCGCGGAGCCTCCCGGCCTGTGTCCTCACCTCGCTGAGCGCCTGTCCCTCTCCTCAGGACTCCGTGAGAAACGAGATCGCCGTCATGAACCAGCTGGATCACGTGAACCTCATTCAGCTCTACGACGCCTTTGAGTCTAAGAATGACATCGTCCTGGTCATGGAGTAGTAGGTGTTCGCTCCTGCTCCCCCTCCCGCTCCCCTGCGAAGCTGGGCACGTGTCCAGGGGGCCATGGGGGCCGCTCTGTCCGGCCTCAGAAGCTGCTAGGTCCACGCTTGGGGCACCGCTGCTTCCGACTTGCGAGTATAAGATAATTCATCAGTTTCAGAAAGGACATTACTTAGAAGTAGCTGCCTCCGTATGTGATTTTACTAATAAGAAGCAGGGTGACCACATAGATCTAACTTTATATGTGAGCTCTACTGTCAAAATCCAGCTTCCTTGGTGTTCTGGCTGACCTGGAGGGGAGTGGTTTTTGACTACATCTCACTTTCAGCCTAATCACTAATCCAGAGTTCGTGTCAAACTCTTACTCACTGGGGTTAAGAAACTTCCATTTAAAATTCGCTTTCTAAAAACTTAGCGTTTCGTTGGAAAGTGAGTACTTCTAACTGACACTGAATCAGTATTGTGATTCAGTTCATTATTTCCTCATTTTGGATTTTCTTTATCATTGTTCAATGGCGAATTTTGAATACTAAATATTTAGCATCAGCCACACAGAAGCTCTTTCTCACTGAAATTAGTCCAGGAGGCCCTGCCTGGCCCTCAGCTGGTATTTGGAACTTTCTTAGAGCCCTCCTTATTTCCTCCTGCTCCTGCTTCCTGCTGGTAATCTTCATCCAAGGGTATTTTTCCTATTGATTTTCACAGAGTGGAAGGGAGAGAGAGA